CCCCCAAAAAAAAAAAAAAACAAAACCAAGAAAGTGACACTGAAACAATTCACACAGGTGGCTGCTACTTGCACTAAGGGACTTGTAAAATTGGGCTCCTTCCAAAAGGGGCCATTTCTCACACCTGGATACAGGCACAGCCCACTTGCTACAAATCCAAGTACAAGATAAACACTTCATTGTGCCCCAAACTTTTAACCTTTTAATTGAACCTCGGCCAGAAAAACACCGCAAGGAGCACAGTTCCCACCCTGCTTCCCTCCCCAGGTAATCTCTCAGGCTTTTTCAGACCTCAGTTGCAAGAAGAGCCCATTTTTCCCAGTCAGGCTGATTTTTCACATCTTCACCATATAAACATGAATTAGGGAAGTTAAATTCTCACTGAAAGCAGCCTGGAGCTCTATTTCCACAACTGTCACAAAGATTCATTGGAAAGATGCGCTCTTGAAACTCAGAGTTTGCCTGTGTAACTTATGCCCACCCTCTAATGAAGCAAGGCTTACATGGAAAATTGGTATTTTGCTAGAATAACTGACTGTCAGGTAACACAAGCCTTTTTCCACTGCTTGAAGTACTTTTTCTCCTCCCCTACTACAGCAATGGCTTTTATTAAAAGGATTAAAACTTTCATTTTGTAAACCAGATCCTTCAATTACCACAACTGCACAGTACTACCACTTTGTGGAAAACCACCACTGTAGCTTTGGTCATCTGTATCATCATAACACAACTGAAAACATTTGGTTTTGTTTTTTTCAGGGCAAAAATACATTCTCAGGTAGAAGACAGTCTCCCCATCAGCCTGGCAAAGCAGACTGGAGAGTGCTCCATCTCATGGAGAATAAACTATTTCCACAGACAGCTTCCTGAAATGTGAAGACAAAAAAACCCAACCACACAGCAAAAGAAGTTTTTTAAAAAAAAAATAAAAATAAATCAACAGCTCCCATCATCTCGTCACACTTTTACCCAAGCTACTGTTTGCTACTCACGCAAGAGGAGGTACGTGCATGGAGGTTCATTCGGCCAAGCCTTGGGGTATCAGCAAATTGCTCACACTAGACTGTAAAAAGAACACAGCCTTCAAATCATTTCCAGTCTAACAGAAGTCAGAAGAGGAGTCTGTCACAGGTTAAACAATATTCTATTAGACCTCAATGCCAACTTCATTATACCTTAAAATAAGAAGCTCTATGTACTTTTGAATGTTCAGCTTATTTTTTTAAAATAAGTTTGGTATCAATATGCTTTATTCACGATTTGACAATGTAGTTATCCTCTTCACAATCACATTCAAAGTGCTGAGTTTGCAGCACTTACAAGTCTTTTAAATCTGCATTTTCTAGCTTTCACCTGGAGGTAAAAAGGAACACTTTAAAACCAGCAATAACTGATACTGCTGCACCCATATGTGCATCAGGAACAAAAATCAAGACATTTTGTGTTATTTTGACCATGGGGACGGAAACCAGGAGAAATTAAGAGATGGAAACAATCTTGGAAATTAGCTAGTCCATCTCCCTGCCGATGGAGAACTGAGAACAAACAACACTCCACAGCTGCTCCGGCCACTCCCATTAAAGTCACCCCAACAGCCCTTCTAAACCATTTTGGCTAGGGTCAGAGGTTGGTTTTGGCTACTGTATTCCTGAACTAAGCCCACCCTCATTCCCTGGAAATAGGATGTTAAGTCATAGCTCCAGAGAAGTCTCAGAGGGATTTGGCATAGTCTGTCCATCACCTGGTTTTAGCTAACTTTTTTTTCCCCTTTTTAAGCCATGAAGTTAATTCCCAACCAATCCTTTTTCCTTGCCTGCTCGGAGCCTTTCCTAAGCACAGTCAGTCTGTTCCAACCCCAGCATCTTTGGCCCACATACACTGCTCAGAAGGGATCAGAGGACCTGGTGAAGCTTTGGAATATTATTTTTTTTTTTTTCCCCCTTTACGGCAAGGCTGATAACACCTGGATTTAGCTCTTTGGAAGCAAGAGCAGACACATCAAAACCAGCACAGTAAGGTGGGGAAAAGACAAGATGCTATCATGAAGTAGGCAGTGGGGAATATATTTGCTACCACTTGGCACAGGGCTTCCTTCTACACCAGGAACAATCCTCTCCCTACAGAAAGCCAGGCTCCCCCCTTACGGGACAGCAGAGGAAATCTCAACTCCTGCAAAGCCATGGAAAGAATTCAAGTCCAGACTGATTTAACAGGACTGAATTGGTTTGACTGGGCCAATTCATGAGGAGTCAAAGACAACTGGAGGCTCATTTTAGTTAACTTCTTGTCACCAGAACACCCAAGCCTGTAAAGTACCAAGCAGCAGAGATGTGGCAGGGTGCGTGTATTCTCCATCATCAGGGGCAGGGAGGCAAGACAGAAGGACGGCATTACCTTCCTCAGCAGCATTCACAGAACTAGAAAGGTTCACAGTACTCTGTCCCTGCCCTTCGACAGGGCCAGCGGGGACGTAAAGTCCTATGGCAGCCCTGCATCCCCACTGCAGAACCACACCGACTGAATTCCTCTGGGCAGCAGCTGTTCCCTCTAACGCGGTTAAAAATCGGTCTTCCCAAGAACAACCCAGCACCTATGTCATGCAGACACCGTACACAATCTTTCAAAGAAGTCCGCTCTCTTGTGCTCTAGTGCCTGTAGAAAGCCCTGGATTCTCTCTTCCCGCATGGCGGTGCATTTCTGCAACAGTGTCCGTCGGCGCCGAGAGTCTCCGTGGGACGCAAACCCCTCCTGCTGCAGCTTCTTTGTCACATAAGCCTGATCCCTTTCCATCTGTTGTCGCCTCCTTTCCTCCATGTAGGAGTCTCTGGCCTTCTAGAGTGAAAAGCAGTAGAGCATTAGCACTTTACCAGGCCTTTCAGCTCATCTGTAGTACAGATGCAAAGCAGCATAGGTCACGGAAAAAATAGCCTCTGCTTGGCCATCCATCTGCAGGTTAAATGAAGGGTGGCTCTGTATGCGCCTCCTCCACTTTGAGGCAGCCTGCTTGATTGGTTATAAAAAAATACAGGGATATCCTTCTGGACCTTCTCCCCAAGACACAAGTCTGCTCACAGCATTAACTCCTAGTTAAAACAGATAAAGGTCATGACAGATTGTGGAAAAACCCTCAGATATTGGAATTGGAGAGGAACAGCATACAAGAGGACTTTTAAACCCCAGACCTGCATGCAAGGCATCCTCACCAGTGTCATCCCAGAATCTTTGATCCCATTCACACGGCAGCTGAAAGGTTGTAGGGGATTTGGAACATGATTTATGGGGCAATTCTTTGAGCAGATGATCAGGTATTGAGATAATCAGCATCAGCATAAAAGCACAAGTGGGCTCAGCATTCTCAAATGCCCATGATCTAATAATGTACCAGCTCGAGACGCAGCAGGATGGGCAGGAGAAAGGTAAAGGCAGTAGCTATCCTTGCCTTCCCTTCAAGTATTTGAAATATTTTTACAGAACATCACTTTTGGATTTCTTCTTACGGCACATATCCTAGCCTGCAGCCTCCAACAGCAAAAACACATCTGCATGCAGGAATATTAAGCTTTCATTTCTAAAAAGAGTAAAACTGGTCACTGTGACATAACCTGACACACACACTTAGGAAGTGCTCGCCTTTCTAACGAGCAAGAAATAATTATTCTAATGAGAGCCTGACTCACTCTTTACCACACCTGCCCTGCGCCCAAGTCTGCAGTCTATGCTCTGGCACTGTAAATTAGCTTTTGTTGTGCTGGGAATGACAGTAGAAATATCCCTAGTTACAGAAAGCCCACTGAATTGATAGCACTCCACTGCTGTAGCTCTGCTTATTTGAAATGCAAAGATCATCAGCCTGTTCAGCATAAGACTTCCACCCTCGAACAAAGTGAAATTCTGTCTATTCACCAGAAAAGACTCCGCATCACCACTTCCGTAGGGCAGGCTTGCCAACCAACACCTGCATTCTCTCCCTAGGTTTACCACCTACCAAAAGCAGGTTACAGCTGATCCTGGGACTACGTGGTGAGCAACCACCAGCTAGCAGACTCCCTTGAGCAGCAGGCTAACTGGAAAATGAAGATGGCCAACGTAATGCTGTTTGAGTTGATGGAAGGAAGATATCTTTTGTCAAATACCTCCAAATTCAGGTTTTTATGTACCTTGTCAAACCTTCCATCCAGCTGCCTTGGCATGCCCTAACTGCCTCCAGTGCCCTGAACACAGCAGCACTCTCCCACAGTAGACGCAGCTGCTGTAATATACTCTGGCTTCTCAGCAAGTCAACTTCCTAGCCTCACCATCCCCAAGCAACCCTTCCACCAAGGTAATTTGTTTCAAGAGCTCCAGATACTTTCGGCTTTCAAGATCACCTATTTCAAATGCAAAAAAACCCAGCTCCTAAATCTCAGCAGTTCCTTTGAGCAAGAAGTCCTCCCTTCTGCACAACTGAGCTACATCTCGTGAAAAAAGGGCAGCCTTATATACTGAAAAGTGGGTCTTGCAGCAAAAAAAAACTGACCAAAGAACAAACCTGGACAATAAGAAACCTTGATAATAGCATAGCATGAACACATAGAGGTACAAATAAGAACTAAGAAAAGACGAGACTAGCTAGGAACAGAAGCAGCATTTGTTACCCATCAGAAATTAGCACTAGGAGCAAAGTCAGAACAGTGACCTTACTGTTCAATACTGTTCAAGACAGAGGCAAAGCTAATGTCAATGACAAACACTACTGCCTTTTTTGCTTTCCTCTTCATGCAGAAGGTGAATCGCTATTAGTTGTATTAATACAATGACTTGCTGGTAGGAAAAGGGCACACTTGGGGCAGAAATAGGAACAAAAGAGGTTAAGGACATGCGGAATTTGGATGCTTCCAGACTGACAGGACCTGATTAAATTCACTCATAACCACGACTGTCTATAATCTCTTTGACAACTCTCAGAGGTGAGCAAGGTCCCTGAAGGTAGAAAAGGGCAATATAAAAACAGAGGACCCAAATAATTAAGGAGCAGACACACTCAGCAACCAGATACAGTGGAGGCAAGAGTCGCCACACTAAGTTACTCCTCCTGCCAGTTACCGCTGTCTCTGTGCTACAAGCTCCCCACATTTCCCCATCAAGGGCTCCAGCTCCCAGACTTGTTTCGCTTAAAAAGAGCCAGATTACCGAGTCACTACTAAACTGGCCAGATTTATCTGAACCTGGTCAGGGAGAGGTCACAACAACAAATCTAAGATGAGAGGAACAATGGCAATGAGCAATAGGAACAACCTCTTTAGCAATCTGGACCCACCAGAAAGAGGACACTTGTCCACAGTCTTACAGCTCAGGCAGCCTCACTTCAGCTCCCAGAAAGCAAACTCTAAGCCCAGTAGTTACAACTCTAAAAACAATAGCAGAGTTAGAGGAAGAACTGCTCATTCCAGAGTGAACTCAGCAGTCTTTGCTTAAACCACTGATGAAGTGGTTTGAGTTAAACTGGCTGATTTTACCCTGTAGAAAATCAAGAGTGCTTACTTGTTCTGTCCTGTCAACTGAGGAGTGAGGACAGACAGTTCCAGCTGGTGGAATGAGCAATGAGTAAGAGAGACAGTGGTGACTTCAGATACTTTCGGTATTCCTGAAAGTAGAGGAGTCTGGCCACACACTTAAGATGTTGTAACAAGCCAGATGGGTACAGGAGAAGCAACACATCAGGCATTAGCTGCTACTGAAACAAGATCTTAACTGACCGCACTAAATGAACAATTCCTCAATTCCCACTTTGCACACTCTCACCTGATCTCCAGCACATGGCCGTGCAGGCAACATGCTGTGTCGAGCTTCCTATCTCCCTAAGGCTCCCTTACCTGTAAAGCACTGTAGTTCATCTGGAACCGAAGGATAGCCTCACACAAGTTCCAAAAGGAATATTCTGGCCACAAGACTGACTGAAACACCAGGCATGAATGGGATGTCTGCAGAAAGCAAGATCACCAACAATTTAATCATCTAGTGAGGGAAAAGTCATCAAGATGCAGCTCTGTTGGTCAAACTATGCCAGTTTCCCCACAAAGATGTTACCTAGGCTGTGTTATCAGATCCTACTTAAAATGAAATAAATACCAGCCAGGAGAGTTTGAAATTGCACAATGTAGTTAGTTTTTAATGCTGGGACATTGTCACGGATGACATAGTCATCCATTCCTGCAAAGATACCAGCAGAATTCTTTCTAATGCTATGCTGGTCTTCCCAGAGGTATTTTTAATAGCTTAAACATCACAGACATATAATAAAACTAAAATAGCAACACTGGACTACCAAAGGCTGAGTTAAGGCAATAACAGATGAACCGAGGATCAGGACATGACATTTAAGCCATTCATCAAATGACATCTCGTGATATTCCTTGCTGCCCACTCACGGCATTTAAACTGCTTAATGAATCTAAGAGTTGTGGTGCACTGAAGATATCCTAGAGCTGAAAGATGCAAGATTTCAAGTTAAATCCTATCTTTGCCATCGAGTCCCTCAAAGTTTCAGGTAAATGTGTTCCTATGACCATTACTACAAAATCAAACACTTAAAGGACTCCGCATGACTCAAAGTTGTAATGATATAGAAAATCCTAGTGTCAAATCTATACAAAAAACACCATAAGGACATTTTCTTTGACACCAGAGAATCATCCTGAATAGCATAATGTCCTTCTGCTTTGAGACTGTCAGGACACACACAATTGCTAGCGAAAGCAAATTTGCACCAATGCTCTGGCGTGTGAGCCGGCAGAGTGGGAGCACAAGCACACGCTCTCCTCTGCTGCTTCTGCTGTAATCCATGGCACGGCAGAGGGGCACCCCGCCAGCCAGGCTCACAGAGCACTGACTTCCTCAGGAACGCTTCATCAGTTACAAGCTCCAGTCTCCAAGGCATCTCTGCCCAGACTACCACCAAGAGGAGCAAGCAAAATCTTAGTTCGCAGCATTGACACCCATCCAGGGTATAGGTGTGCCCAAAAATACAGGGAGGAGAGGGAGGTGCCTTGGCAGGCAACCGCAACTCAGGCCAGACAACTTCTGTGAACTTGCCAATTAAGTAACTTGGAATAGGAACATTTGATGTGGTTGCTTAAAGGCAACTGGATTTTGGCTCCGAACTGTACATGTAAAACAAAATGTTAGCTTTAAGTAAAGCAGCTCAACTCAAATGTTCTCCTGCAAAGTCTGGGTTACAAACAAGTCAATATTACCTAGCACAGGAGACAGAGAGAAATGGAAGCAGCTTTGGATACTGTAACTGCAAATACATGAACTTTGTATGTGTTAAGAACTTACTATGTTTTAGCTTAGCAGCCTAGTCATGCTGATGTGACTTTGCCATCCTTAGAACCTGCCTTCTTTCACTATGAGAGTCAAATATGCTTCTGAAACTGTGGCAAGTCAGGCATGTACATTACATGTACGTTATAGGGTTACACCTCCAATACCTACAGCTGACGTGTGACAAACACCTCTCCCAGGAACCTAGAAATCCTTTCTGGGATTTCCTCATCCCAGGAAACATATTGCCAGGTTAAATTAATCAAAGCCAGGAATTTACCAGTCAAAAGAGGAATTACCTCAATGTCCGAAGAGGAGCAAAAGGATAAGGAATTCATGATTTCTTTGACTGCTGTCAGCTAGACTAATTTATGATTTCCTATTAAGTGCTTTTAGGATGATACAATTTCAGAATTGTGCTGCAAGGTATTTTAGGCAATCACAGAACTGCAAGAAACAGATTCCTCAGAGATGCCCCAGCACTCAGTCCATCCGAGAAGTTACCTAATCCCTGGCAGAGGGAGGTTAACAGCCCTCATGTCAGCTCACACCTGGAGTCAGTCGAACACTCCCTGATGCAAAACCAGAGTATTTCAAGGAGAAAACAAAGACTTTACCTGCCAGAGCAAGAAATCACTCAACCGAACCTCTCCAGAGGTTCGAATCAGGAGGTCTGGGTCAGGGGAGTTGTTGGTGTACAGACACTTATCAAGCAACGATTCAGACACATCACTAAGAAAGACAGATGCATCTTATTAAGATCACTTTCCTGACCCAACAGAGGTGGCACTACTATATCAGAATTACTGAGGGTTTTTTTTATAAACACAGGACTGCAGATTAAAACTGGGTGATGGAGCTGTACCACAGCCAGTCATCAACTTGCTTCTGATGGATACTGCTGTCTGCTCCACAAGCTACTTCAAATGCTCTTTCAGCCCCCAGAGCATCCCCCCCCCATGCTCTTTGAAACATAATACAGCATGGAACCAGACTGTGAGGACTTCCATCTGGAGCAGAGTGCTAACTACTCCATCTCCCCCAGGGTGGAGGAACAGTTCAGTATTCATGATTCATCTGTTGTTTGACCTCATAGCTAAGACTGCCAGCCAAGCAGCCAATTGTTGTGGCACAAAATCTGACTTCAAATTTAAACTAACTTAAGACACAGACCTACTTTCTCTTCTGTCTTGGTTGTGTATCTATCACCATGGTAACTGAAGCAATAAAAACCAAACATTGCATAGTAACTTTAAGTCATTTGTTCCAGTCATACTGGTTTAAAGAGATCTATTTAAAAGCCACTTGGCTTCTGACAGGTTATTAATAAAGCGTAGGTGGCAAGACAGGCAGTCTTCATCTATGAAGCCTCATACAGAAAGACAAGAGTTACCTGGGTTCGAGCAGTCCTTGTTCCACCCCCCACGCCATCTCCCTGACAGCATTGCTGATTTCATGTCTCGATGTGTAAGCAAAGCAGACATTTAGAAAGCATCTGAAAAGAGGAGAAAGTTGTGAAAGACTAACCTAAGGAAGGTCCAGTAGATGACAGAGAGAAGAATATCTACAACGGTTATGTGTGCTTGTAGGACAAAGAAAAAAAAATGGTGTAGCATGTCTGCCAAGTCTCAGCCTTCAGGTAGAAGAGGAAGATGTGAGGTATCAGCTACTTTAAACTCTGCGTTACTTACTTGTTGTAGTTCCTAGTTGCCAGCACAGCTTGGGCAATCAGCTCCTGAATATCCAAGGGCAGAAGCGGCAGGTCCCCAAGGACACGGATACACACACCATGCTTCTTCAAGCTCTCCCTACACCCGACAACAAGAGTGAGGACTACAGAAGACAGATCAGTCTCTACTGCACAAGTGCCATGTTTGCCTTGCGTAACATCCACCAAATGAAAACAACAGGCATGTACCAGTCATAGCTTCAGCAAAACTGAGAATTAGAAAAAGGCAAAATGACCGAATGTTTATCAGATGTTGAAAACTGGCTTAGATTTGATCATCCCAAACCATTCCATAAAGGGAAACGGACCATTCCCCATACAATTTCCTGAGGTACAGACATGACCAAAGGGCTAGAAAATGATCACAGATTAGGCATTCCTACTTGAAGTTATGAAAATCCAGATGGAAAACTTAGAATACAACCATAGACTCTGGGCACCTATAACTAATCAAAAATTAAGATGACTAATGGTCACCCACAGAGTAGCACAACTACTTTCTGGGGTAAGGAAAGATGAACATGTCAATAAGGGTGGGATGGGGGTAGTGGAGTGAAGGTCAGACGAGACAGGAAATCATCCATGCCTGCCATAGCATTATTTGGAGCAGACAGGACATCCCATTGGATCTTACAGGTTCCCGTGGCTGGTTGGCGCTACAAACTCCCTGACGAAGGGCTGCATTGGGTAGAAACCAGGGAAATGGCCTCTTTGAATCAGTGTACCGCAGTGCTCAGATAGTCCTGATCTTCCCAGTTTCTACTAGTGCACACACACTATCCTCTCCCTCCCATTCTTCCAGCTGCATTCCCCTCACTGCTTTTCAAATTTCCTTCAGCCAGGTAAGGACCCCTTCCATGCACGGCTCTTCGCAGTCAGCCACGGGGAAACAAACACATCCACTGAGCTACTGAGCAACAAGGCACTGTAACGCCCCTCCTGCTCACCCAGATCTGTACTAGTTTCATCTACACGCAATACACGAACTAGTTCTCCAACTCCAACAAGTGACTTAACACACCATGTGCCCATATTTAGAAGTTTCAAGTTACCGCAAAGCAAGTTGCTGAGCTAAACAACGATCTGCCAAAAATACTGTGACAGAATTTAAGACAAGGCTTTGATACTTCATGAAAACAAGGTATCTAGCACTCTAGTGCAAAGCAGGAATTTCTAATTGTGCTGTGCTTATCTGAAAGCTGTACAGTCCCAACTGTTTGGATGGGACTGTTGCACAGTGAGCCATATGACACAGACACAAATCTGGTGTGCAGGGAAACTGTGCATGCTCAGGAGCTGTACATCCCATCCAGGCAGGCAGAGCCCCTCAACACAAACCTCTAGCTGGAGGTGGAGAACAGTCTCCTTCATTTAGTCCATTCTCACAACTTGTAACATCCCTGTAAACATCTCTTAATCATGTTCTGCTTTAGTTCCACCCTGTGGGATATAGACACAAGAGGATTCTTACTGTTCTTCCAGTAAGCGGCTAAATTTCTGTCTTGCCAGATCCATTAGTCCATCCACCTCCTCCTTTGAGCGTTTAAAGTTCTCAATACTAAAGGCATAAACAGTCACCTCCCGAATGCCCAGATTTAAGCACCACCGTAGCGTCTGCAAGACAAAATGTAACGGAAAACAAAGGTCAGCTAAGCAGACTCAATCAGACAGGTCAGCAAGACCCAGCTTCTCTACTGCTAAAACCTTCCTGTCGTTTCCCACTAGGCTAAGACTGGATCAAAAGAAACAACCATCAAGAGCTGACAATGAAACCCACTTGATGAGAATTTCAGATTCATTTTAAAGAACAGGAGGAAAATATCACTACCTAAGGATAAGAATCCATAACAGATACAGGACTAAACTGGCCAGGGAAAGCACCTCTTGTAGATAACATTATAAATTATCTAATACCTTACCTTTCAAAACCTTTTCAAAGAAATTCAACCTGTTTCACAGAATGAAAAGCTTCAAGATCTGCAAGGTAGATATCTTAATCGAGTGTAAAACAGAGGGGGGCGGGTGGAAAAAAGCTGATTAGAATGACTCTGCAAGATAACAGAAAGAGAGAGAGAGGAGCTGAAGCTGGGAACCCTGATGACAAATGTCAGCTCCAAGCGCAGGCCTGACTCTGGTGAAGAAAAGGAACACAATACACCAGTCAAGCACTAAACACAGTCAGCTGCCGAACACGGCTCAAACTTTCAACACACAACTTAAAGGCAGCAAACATCCTTCCTACCTGTGCCAGCTTATCAAAGCCTTGCGAATGCCCCTGCTGTCTCTCCACATGACACTTTTGGGCATAACGGCGATTGCCATCCATGATGAAGGCAACATGCTTGGGCATTGGACCTGCCTAGAAAATAAGGAGAAACACAACAGACCAGAAAGCAAACAGCCAAGCTGGCATCTTGCACCACAGAGAGTTTAGTCCCACTGTTCCTAGCAGCACCGCCTATCTGTAGGAGTGCGGTGCGTATCTCCCAGCTTCAAGCCTGGAGCTGGAAAGAGTAAGATGCTAATCACTTCTTTGTTAACCCCAGTTTAGGCTCTCTAAAAAGCATGTCAGTATTGACAATTGCCTAAACTGAAAAGCAACTTTGTCCTCCCTGTTTCTGTCGCACGACAGAGAACCAACCCTGCCACAGCTACCTCTCTGCAGCTACAGGGAAGGGTGCACACAGTTTTATGCTGCCACAATTGTAAGTATTATTTATTTTAAAGTTCAAGGGCATTTTCACAGATACAATTAACTTAAGAAGGAAAAAAATAGAGCCATAAGACTTTCCCCCACTTAAGAGGAGTATTCCTTTCCACTGACCTCATTAGGTCTGCACAGATCCTTTCGCAAGGAGGACAGCATCACCAGTCCCAAGACTCTGCTGAGCAAGGACAGAATTTTCCTGGAACTGGTGAGTTGTTATTCTAACCAAGAGAAACTCAGTTTCATTTCTTAGACTCATAACACAACCATCTTGCTTCTCTCTCTATCATTCCCATGCCCTGCCTTTATTGGCCAGAGCACAAAACATGGAAGCCTGGGAGTGTAAGCTTATTATTGGCAAGCACTGCCTACAGCCTTGCTCATTTGCAAGGCTAAGCTTAAGTAATCTTCCATCTTTGAATGCTCTTTAGGGATGTACAGCCAGTGCCAGCATTAATATGTACCCTTCCTAGCAACACGACCTTTCTAGAGCAGAGCAGAGACAGTTCCACTCTGAACCCTGATGAACCTGCCAGTGCTTTACCACAGGTAACCAAATTCAGTCCTTACCTTAATGATGTTGGCACAAAATCTCTCTATGATGGTCAGCTCGCCCTCTCTGATCCACGACATCTTTTACCGAGAGCTCCTTTTCTTTTTCAATGGGAAGATGAAAATAAAGGGGTTAGAGGTACAGAAGATTCTGCCTGAGCCCAAAGCAATGCTACAAACCATCACTTCGGAAAAACAAGCTTTGACTAGCTGCTTTGGAGCCCTTTTTATCATCTGTGCAAGTACTTCAACAAGCAGACGATGGGGGAAGCTCAGAAATGAGCTCTGGAATTTTCCAGCTGTATGTCATTAGAGCAGTTTCTGCACTAGCTGGTAGCAAGGAAAAAAAATAATTTACTGCATCCTCCAGCCAAACTAGCTGGTGAGTTAGTACAGACTCACAATTTGTGCTACCACCAGGAGAGTCACAGGGTGGCAGCAGCACAAACTGACCTTCAACGCTTTTGTGTTGTTGGAAATCCTTCAAATGAAGGAATCATCTGCATCATCAACTACCCTGCACTTGTGTCACCACTGATATTTCTTTTCCTTCACAAACAGACAGCTTTAGCCTCTGGAGCTGTAAAAATATTGGGTTTTTTTTACCACATTATCTGCACATCAAATACAAAGATCTGATTTGAGCTAACAAGACACAAGAGTTTGCTGAACTTCCACATTAATCTTCAATTCTCTCAGCTAGGAACCCTGAGAGATGTGAGCAAAGCAGCTCTGAAGAGAGAGCTGTGGGGGCAACAGTCCAGATCCGACCACCTGGTACCCACCTAGGGACCAAAGGGGATTCAAATTACACCGATTCCATTAATTTTCCATATGGGCCTTCTCCACTTCCTCCCTCAGGAAGGGATGTCCAGCCGCAGACGCAGCCACAAAACATTAAGGCAAGGGCATGCTGAACCTCGGGCTCTGTTACTAAAGCTCTTAATGCTCCCCTTGAATAGCTCCGGCTGAAGACACATCATCTTCCAACGCCGCCTTTGGGTGTTAACAGCAATCAATCTTTTACATACGATTTTACACAGTCACCCTAAGAACTAAGCTTCACAAAGAAGCCCCGTGTCTATAAGCCGGAGTACCAGAAAGGCCATGGCTGGCTTCACGCC